TTTCCGCATTTTACCACATTTTGCCTCTCTTTTCAGCGTTATAGCGTTTGTATGGCTAAAAAACTCCTCTAGAAACCCACAAGTTCTGGGTTTTTTTCCAGCCAAAAAATGCCCCTGCCAAAAAACTCTGATTACAGTCTTTGTGTGCATGGACACATAGTCCTCATGTGCACTGGATGTTTTTACAGCTGCTGTTTTTGGCTTTTGGCATTTTTTTCTACAGCCAGTAAACTCCCCAGCATGTTATCCTATGTGTCCATGCACATAGGTTGTAATCAACGTTTTTTGGCAGGGACGTTTTTTGGCTGGAAAAAAAACCCAGGACTAGTGGGTTTCTAGAAGAGTTTTTTAGCTGTAAAAACGCTCTAACACTGAAAAAAACACAGAAAACCAGCGTTTATGGACTTTTTTGAGCAAAAAAAAATATTTTTTTTGTAAAAAAAAAAGTTAAAAAATGCAAAAGCGGCAAAACACCACTAAATGTTGCTAAACGCTAATGCAAAAACGCTGAAAAACTCACATTTTTAACGTGACTTTACGCAGCTAATGTTACTGGCGTTATTAAAATGCCCTGTGTGCATGGAGCCTAACACTGGTTAGATCACCGCCATCCAGGACAGGAAAATGGATACTAGAGAGCTATGACCGCCACATGCAGTACATCCATGCGGCGGTGTAACATCGCACACTGTAACTCCTACAGTGTGCTGACGTCATGGATTGTATGTGGCGGCCATACAGTGAGGGAAATAAGTATTTGATCCCCTGCTGCTTTTGAATGTTTGATTACTCACAAAAACAATTGAGTACTGTCCGTGATACTTTTTTATTTGCACTAACATATAATTTTGAGGACAAGCTTTCGGGGAGTGTCCCTTCTTCAAGGTCCAAGCAGTACTCAGTACTATGAACCAGCAAACACAAATGCTCCTGCGCTTGGGGATGGACTCGATGCACGCTACAACCACATTAAGAATGTCCTGGAACATGCACACCTTGCTGCCCTCAAATGGACCGGGGGAATCTAAATATACTGAATAAAGAATGAAAAAAGAGAGGGCGCAAAGGCCTAGTGCATTACCATAAAAAATGTTTAATAAGAAATAAAATACAGTGGGGATCTAAAGTTTGGGCACCCCAGCTAAAAATTTGTATTAATGTGCATAAAGAAGCCAAGGAAAGATGGAAAAATCTCCAAAAGGCATCAAATTACAGATTAGACATTCTTATAATATGTCAACAAAATTTAGATTTTATTTCCATCATTTACACTTTCAAAATAACAGAAAACAAAAAAATGGCGTCTGCAAAAGTTTGGGCACCCTGTAGAGTTAATATCTTGTACTGCCCCCTTTTGCAAGTATCACAGTTTGTAAATGCTTTTTGTAGCCAGCCAAGAGTCTTTCAATTCTTGTTTGAGGTATCTTTGCCCATTCTTCCTTACAAAAGTCTTCCAGTTCTTTGAGATTTCTGGGCTGTCTGTCACGCACTGCTCTTTTAAGGTCTATCTATAGATTTTCAATTATGTTGAGGTCAGGAGATTGTGAAGGCCATGGCAAAACCTTCAGTTTATGCGTCTTGATGTAATCCCCCGTGGATTTCGAGGTGTGTTTAGGATCATTATCCATTTGTAGAAGCCATCCTCTCTTTAACTTCAGCTTTTTCACAGGTGGCATCAAGTTACCATCCAAAATTTGCTGAAATTTTATTGAATCCATTTTTTCTTCTACTCGTGAGATGTTCCCTGTGCCACTGGCTGCAACACAACCCCAAAGCATGATTGATCCAACCCCATTAGTTGGACAGAGGTTCTTTTCAATAAATTCTGTGCCCCTTCTTCTCCAATCGTACCTTTGCTCATTCCGGCCAAAAAGTTCAATTTTAACCTCATCGGTCCACAGAACTTGTTTCCAAAATGCATCAGGCTTGTCTATATGTTCATTTGCAAAGTTCAAACGATGATTTTTGTGGTGAGGACGTAGAAGAGGTTTTCTTCTGATGACTCTTCCATGAAGACCATATTTGTACAAGTATCTCTTTATAGTGGAATAGTGTACCACAACTCCAGTGTCTGCCAGATCTTTCTGGAGGGTTCGTGCAGTCAAACGTGGGTTTTGAATTGTTTTTCTCACAATCCTGCGAGCTGTTCTGTCTGATATTTTTCTTGGTCTTCCAGACGATGATTGAGAACAATCCATGACACTGGCAGGTCTCAGCTTTGCAAAGGGTCAGTGCATGCTACAAATTCTGCAGGGTGCCCAAACTTTTGCAGACGCCATTTTTTTGTTTTCTGTTATTTTGAATGTGTAAATGATGGAAATAAAATCTAACTTTTGTTGACATATTATAAGAATGTCTAATCTGTAATTTGATGCGTTTTGGAGATTTTTCCATCTTTCCTTGGCTTCTTTATGCACATTAATACAAATTTTTAGCTGGGGTGCCCAAACTTTCGATCCCCACTGTAGGTGTTGTACTCACAAACAACAATAAAGTCAAGGCACATCATGAAAGAACAGCTGGGTCAACACCGCGCTGAGTAACAGTCCGCAATGGAGAGTGTATACATCCAATAGGCTGACGTGTTTCGAGGACTTGCCTCTTCCTCAGAGCCCCACCACTCAGCGCGGTGTTGACCCAGCTGTTCTTTTATGATGTGCCTTGACTTTATTCTCGTTTGTGAGTACAACACCTATTTTATTTCTTATTAAACATTTTGTATGGTAATACACTAGGCCTGTGTGCCCTCTCTTAGTACTCAGTACTGCTTGGACCTTGAAGAAGGGGACACTCCCCGAAAGCTTGTCCTCAAAATTATATGTTACTGCAAATAAAAAAAGTATCACGGACAGTACTCAGTTGTTTCTGTCACAAATGCACTAATACGGCTACATTCACCTCATCACTCACAAAGAAATGATCAGTCTAAAAATTGAATGGTAGGTGTATTGTAACACTGACAGACAGAATAGCAACAAAAAATTCAAAAGAAATGCATGTCTAACAAATTATGCACTGATTTGCATGTTCATGAGGGAAATAAGTATTTGATCCCCTATCATTCAGCAGGATTTCTGGCTACCAGCTGTCTTTCATACAGGTAACAAGCTGAGATTAGAAGCAGTCTCTTAAAGGGAGTGCTGCTAATCTCATTTTGTTACCTGTATAAAAGACACCTGACACCTGTCCACAGGAGCAATCAATCAGATTCCAAACTCTCCACCATCAGCAGGGGTTCAAATACTTATTTCCTTCACTGTAGCTCTGCATTATCCATTTTCCTGTCCACTGTTGTAGCCAGTGAAGAGGCATCCTAAAGGGACCACAACCTAAAAAATAGTAGATTTGCCTGGGTGATACAACTTAGTTTGCTGCGTGTATCCATGTAGCCATATTTTCTGGTGAGTGCAAAGTGTTGGTGGTAGTCATCTGCACAGTGGATAGGCACGGTATGTGTTCATCGATCCACACAATAGTGGTGGAGACTGTCTGCACTTTACATGAACTGCACTTTACATGAAATAGTCTTTCCTTTACATGAACTACCTGTTACATATGAAAAGAAGGATAGACTCTCCACAAGAGAGATAGCTGGGAGAAAGGCTTGCATCTTTAGCCCTGGTTCACACTGATGTGGTGCGGAATTCGCAGCATTTTCAATGCGAATTCCGCACCGCATCACAATCGCACCCCATTCATGTAAACTGCTGTGGGTGTGTATGTTAAGTTAAAAACACCCCGAAAGCGGTCTGCAAAACGCGGTGCGATGTGCAGAATCGGATCACATAGATGTGAATACCCATGCGATCCGATTCTAGTGCGGATTAAAAAAAGGGTCCTGCACCTGTTTGGTGCGGATGCGGTGTGGTTACAGTCATACAAAATGTATGGCTCCAATCACACCGCACACAAATCACATGTGATTTGCACAGGAATGTGGTGCGGTTCCTGTGCGAATCACATGTACCGAACCGCATATATGTGAACCCTGGCTTAGAGAGAATAAAAAGTTGGACAAATAATTTAAAACCCAACTCCAGTCAAAATACATATTTTTGTTTTGGAACGAGAAGAGTAGGGTTTGAACTGACAGGACTTCATTGCTGTGTTTTCATTTTAGAGATATCACATCACATCTTGTGAGGACAGAAAGTGATGAGAAATCTCTCCAGTGGGGACACGGTTCAATGAGGATGGGTTAGAACGTGCAATGTTTTAATTCTTGCCCTGGAGATGACTGCACTCACTAGCATTTGTTGCATGGGCTTTACAGGGACAAGAAGTGGAAAAAAATCTCTTGAATAGGGTCACCAAGAGAAATAAAATCTAGACAGAAATATTAACCCTTCCCTACTTTATCCAAAACTAAAAATTCTGTGCATTACTATTCTGCTTCCTTTTCTACCTTGGGAATGGCAGCGGTGGATGCCAGGGTTGAAGAAATGGCTCCTAAATGGTGCGACCACTGGTCCGGATGATTGGTTTACATGACAGAAAGTGTTAAGTATTGTCAAATAACGTTGGTAGATGTTAAAATGTCATTATATGTAGGAGACATATGGCGTAGAAGGCCCCACACATGTTCAGTGATGGTTGCTCCAGTTTGATATAGTTTTTGACATGCCTCTTATGAACTGGTTGTCCTCTCTGTCCAAAATGTGAACCTCACTGTTTTCTAAAGGATCTCCCTTTTCCTTAAAGTGTTACTAAACCCACAACTCACTTTGGAACTTGATGGGTAATCATATGCATTGTGTAAAATGGCTGTTTGATCCTGTCTTCTCTGATCATCCTCTTATTCTACTGTCCCCGACTCATCTCCTGATAGAACCCTGGCGGCAAGCTGCAAATGCTCAGTTTGGTGCGTATTGCTAGAGAGTTTTTTTTTCCCTTGGGGGGTGAATGTGATTGGCACAGGGCCAATCAGCGCTATCCAGACAGAGGGTCAGGGGTCCTGTGGCCTCATAGGACAGTGAGAGGAGAATGAAAGCTCCTCCTACAAGCTTTAACCAGTGCTCTGCCAGACACTGATAGAAGCCACAAGACTTCTCTAACTGCTGATGAGAAATGGTATTTAGCAGTTTATATTTACTAAAATAATTGCATTTCCATGTTCTGTGTACTGTGGGAGACCAGATATAGTGACTGCAAGGTCCTGGGTTTAGTAACACTTTAAAGTGCAGGAAATAGGCCTATGGCTGTAGAATTTTCCCTTCTACTTTGACCAATTTGTTTGTTAAGAAATTGCTTAATCTCCTTAATGTCTTCTAATGTACATTCCTCACTCCACTGCATATACCAAGTTACTTCACTGCAGGCAAAGGACTTGTGTGGCTATAAATGCTGAGATATTTCCTGACACTCATTGAAACTGAAGAAGTGACTTGATTAAGCTACAGAATGTCTTCAAAAAATCCATTCGAATGTGAGATATACTACTACATACAACATGTCATGACCTGTCATACAACATGTCATGAGTCTTTACAGGAAAATGTGCGGATATGTATACAATAAGATCTAATAGAAATGGTGTGATTAATTTACAATAATCTAGATAATTGGTGATCGACTTTCTTGATATAGGGAACCTAAAGTATAGCAACTGGTATCCCAAAGAGCCTCATATAATAATCAGTTCAAGTAATGTTACAGAAAGATGTCAGAGACTGCTGATATGCAACAGAACATGACCAGAGACTATGGACATGCTGCAAGAGATGATCAGAGACTGCATGAATGCCACAAGAGGCGGTCAGAGACGGAAGATGTTTGACTGCTAGAAGCCACTGCTATCACAGCCCCTTTGAAAATTAATGGGTCCACACCAGGGGCGAACTGACCATTTGGAAACTCGGGCACTGCCCAAGGGCCCGGGGTCAGTAGGGGGCCCCATGAGATGCCCCTGGTACCTTTTTCATAGGCTTTTTTGAGTTTGGGCAAGGACACAGGGGCCCCATGATCTCCTATTGCCTGGGGGCCCCATGAGTTGTCAGTCCACCCCTGGTCCACACCATTGCTTCCTATAGCCCCTTAAAAATCACTTATGCCTCTTTTGATATTTCTCTGGGTGAAATCAATTATAAAAGAATGAGGTGAGATAAATAAAAAGGGGTGAAGTGTAAAAAAAAAACCCAAGAAGACTACTAGAAGCCAGTCTTAGTGAACTGGATTCAAGGGCTATGGTGGGGATATCTCACTGTTGTGTCTGAAACAAATAGAAGAAGCTAAAGGGTAATTCAACCAGCTAGCAGCTAACTAACTGTGAAATATTGGTTTTTGGATGGACATGGCCCTTAAATGAGGCATTTCTGATCTATAATTCAGCAACGATTACACTGTACTTTTCACAGAAGTTTATTTAACAATAAAAATGAAATAAAAGCTAGAATGAAAAATGAAATGTTGCCATATCTTTCACAGAAATAGGGTGGATTTAAAACAATACTCGAATTGGATGGTTTTTGATGTACTTTAATATTTTCAATAGGACTACACAGACTCCCCCTTCCACAACCTTTTCACAAACCCCTGGCACCCTTTGTAAAAAAAAACCCACAGGAATGGTTTATGTTACAGTGTGGTAGGTATCCAGGGAATGATGTTGCAGTGTTTCCAGGTACAGCTTCCCTAGGTTAGAATTTGGAACTTTATTATTAAAAATTGGAAAGCGTTGTATGGAAATTATACCCATAAAACAATTCTTATAGAAACCTGTTATAAAATGCATTGGCTGCTACTTGTGATTGCCTAAAATGCTAACTGCCTAGCTGTCAAGTTTATCTTTTATCTTCAAAATATTTGAGTTACTGACCTGGAAAATGTATGGACCCCTGAAATCTGATCTCACATCCAAATAATCTTTGCAGGTTGATAGCTCAGAATCAGCTAAAGACAAAGGGCGTGCATCATAGCCAGGATACTAGAGTATTCTAACAGACCAAAAATGGCATGCAGAAAGCCAATCCTCTCTGAGGGAGAGGTTGTGTCCTCGAAACGCGTTAGCCAGTTGGTCATCGAGGGTTCCATCGTATGGACTCAGATGTTGTTTGGATCATACATCTTGTTCAGTTTTACATGCCTGTGTTATTATGTCCATTGTGAGTATGATACCTATTTTGTTTCTTCAATAAATTATTTTAAATGATAATGCACTAGGTCGGTGTACCCTTTTTCTGTTTCTCCATTTGTATCCAGTGTATTTGGACCACCCCGGTCTGTTGAGGGCAGCAAGCAGTGCATATTCCAGAAAATTCCAGAACATTCCTATTGGGTCTACTGAGTCCTTTCCTAGCGCAGAAGTAAAGTGTTTGTTGTGTTCAAAAATGGCATGCAGTTTATATTCTAGTGCAGTGTTTATCAACCTTTTTTCAGTCAAGGCACCCTTTAAAATTATGGACAGTCCTGAAGCACCCTTTACAATTATGGACAGTCCCGAGGCACCCCATTCTAAAATGGGATGCCTCTAGACTGTCCATGTTTGAAAAGGGCACCCCATTCTAAAAATGTGAAAAAATGTGAAGAAACCTCAAGGCACCCCAGGGTGCCTGGGCACCCTGGTTGAGAAAGGCTGTTCTAGAGGATATATACTGTAGGTTTCCAGATTGTAAATGGTTAGACGTGTTTCTTTCTGGTGCTTTCACAAAGTCCATCTCTGTAATCCCCATTCTACTCCCACCTGTGAATCAGTCTGCTGATTTCCTGTCAGACAGTCCACCGACAAGAAAATGCAGTCATTCAGGCAAAGTGAATTTTAAGTAGATAGTGTAAAAAGAGGGCAGCATGATTATGGTGCACCCTACATGGCAATGCACTTGTCCTCTTTAAGAATGTTTTTGTTTATTGGTTGGTTCTCTTTCTCTCCTTCCCTTCCCTTTCTCTTCTTCACTTTGATATGCTATTATAGTCAAGCACCTGATTGAAGGGTCTCATTTCCAAACATAGCTTTCCTCTGTGTCTCCCATGGCTGTATCTCTTGCCTTCCAGAAGAGTACACAAGGAGATCATCTACACAGGAGCTCCTCTCTTGGGACCGGAGATTTTCCCACCAACCCTTTTCTTTTGTGTTGTGTTAATTTTAGATTTCTTGAGTATGACTGAACAATTATTGTTTATTATTCTACATCAGGGATCTCCAAACTTTCTAAACAAAGGGCCAGCTTACTGTCTTTTAGACATTTGGGGGGCCGGTCTGTGGCCAGTGGGAGTAAATAATGCCCCATCTTTGGTATTACTAGAAGAAATAGTACCCCATCATCGGTGTCAGTGGCAGGAATTATGCCCCATTGTTGGTTTCCGTGGCAGGAATTGTGCCTCATCATTGGTTTCAGTGGCAAAAATAATGCCTCAAGAGCCAGATAAAGGCAAGCAAAGGGCTACATATGGCCACGGTTTGGTGACCACTGTTCTATATGGTTAACAATTGTCTGTCGTAGTTAACCAATTACCAATTTCATACGCATATATTGGTTGTGTTTTAATCGATTATTTATTTCTTCAGTTACAGTGTCATTTGCAACCTGTAGCCTGAGCCGGTAGTTAGTTACTGTGTGTCATGATGCGCTGCAATGCAGATGAAATGGTTGGGTACTATTCTAAATGAGTAGCATGTCAATACAATGCAATGCAGTACATTAGTTTCCAAGTGTTGTGGCAACTCCTGGTAAACTGCATGTTTAACCACGTTACCAAAATGCATAGGTCGGCATGTGCCTTGACACTTCTAGCATGACCTTGCCAGCTATAATTAACACGATAACACTCATAATAGGACAATAATATAAATGTACTCCAGGAGAGAGTATTACCATTTAGAGCCCTCAAATGACATGAGAAATCAAAGGATGGTTCAACACACTCCTGTTTAAAACTAAAATATTCCTTTGTTGATGGTTTGACCTTTTAAAATGAATTCGAGGAAGATATATTTTGCTGAAGACTGCTCTGGACTGACTGGATCAGTCACTGGTCGTAGGTGGGTGGTTGTGTGGGTGGGTAGGGAGATGTCTCTCCAGTCGGCTGTGCCCAATGGTGGATACTGGCAGTAAACCATCTTAGGGTTTGGGCTGCTGTCTTTCTGGTATGGCCTTAAGGTCATTTCCACACATAGACTTAGAATAATAGGAAAGATGGAGCACCGGCTATCCAAAAGAATGCACTTTTGATGGGAGATTAAGATGCATTTGTTGAGAATATCAACAACTACATCAAATCAACGCATTTCAAGAGAGAAAAAAACTCACCCTTCTTCAGGGCTGTTGCTGCATGCTATTAAATGGGAAAGATTCTCATGCTGGTTATATATTTTCCAGTGATGGCTGTTATTCCAGAGCTTGACCCTACCCCTGCCCCTATCATTAAAAGTGCATTCTTTTGGACATCAGGTGCTCCTTCTTTTCTATTTTTCCAGGAAGATATAAAAGACACAAATAAATGCAGCTCTGGACTCATTAATACATCATTAAGTTTTTTATTTAAATGCAAGCAGTGTAAATGTCCAAATTTAACCTAGTATCAGCATTTGTGTACAGCATAGCTCAGATGGGGAGAGAGAAGCAACACAAAAATTCAGACAGTTGTGCTACAGTGCTAGGGCTAATGAGGGGCTGATTGCAGAAGAAAGCAAAGTGGCAGAGAGATGAGCTTGTCAGTCTGCTGCTTCTCTGCTCAATGTCCAGTCACAGGATGGGTAAGAGTGGAGACCTGTAGGTACTACTTAACTGCACCAGAACAAAATTAGGTGTTCTGCACTGCTGGGCAGGGTATACTGTGTGACAAAGCTATCAAAATCTCAGGATTGGATGGACAGTAATATAAATCATTTGCAGGTAAACTAGCTCCCATACATGTTTTGAATTTTATGTAGCTGTTTGCCTGGAGTCTAGATTTACACGTTTTTTTCAGTAAACCAATGTGCATTTAAAAAAAATAAAAATTGTACAGCTGATAATTACAGCTACAGTTGCCCTCTGTCCGTATATACCACACAAATGCACTGCTTTTGAAAACATATCCTTGGCATTTTTTTTGTCCTTGGAAAGGTCTATTTTTCTTAGAATTTATAAAATACAATGTAAGATGTATTTTATACATGATAACATTTGTTCAATCCTCTATTTAACATATCTGGGTTCTGTAAATAATTTAATATTCCACAGTG